TTCAGTTACAGAGAAATTAAACTTCATTCACCAATGTACATTAAAAGTTAATGAAATTTAAGAATATTTCTAACAGTGTATTTCATACTCAGATTAATGACGTCACTACTTGCTTATACTTTGGTAAAAAGTTATCACATGTCAACATAGGTTCATAAAGCTCACTTTGAAGTGAGTTTACGAGACTCACTAAAGCACACAGACTCGATCTTGTGCAGAATTATAAGTAAAAACTTAATTGAATCTCACTTATCAGAATACAAAAGAAACGCGCATGCGAATCAGTTATAATGTCATAAGTGAGAATTATCTGAGAATCAGTGTAAATGGAAAGTAACTAATATATATGCTTCAAGTCTCAAAAGCTATAAGAAATTAATCAATCACAGTGAGACTTGACTTGACTTGAGTATTGCATCATCCCTAATTTTTATCAAGTTGCTGAACTTTTTCCTTATTTTTGAATTTGTTACATTTTGGAACATAATTTATGACAATCGTGGTCGGACTGGCTGCGAGAGCCAATAACATGATAAGGTAGGTGTATGGAGTACGTAACGCGAATAAATTTGGAGATTTAGGCCTAATTTCACAATACTCACGTTAACTCTTAACCGAAGTTCAGCTTATTGTTATCTCTTTCCAATTCTAGAATTGGAAGAGATGAGAAATAAGTTGAACCTCGGTTAAGAGTTAACCGTGAGTTGTGAAATTAGGCCTAAATCTCCAAATTTGTTCGCGTTACGTACTCCATACACCTACCTTATCATGTTATTGGCTTTTTCAATTTATTTATTATCTCTTTCCAATTCTAGAATTGGAAGAGATGAGAAATAAGTTGAACCTCGGTTAAGAGTTAACCGTGAGTTATGAAATTGAGCCTTACTGGATATTTTATAACCCTATATGTCTATTCTAAGCATTTCTTGAATTCATAAGGAATATCTGTTGATATAGAGGGAACACTATATGAATATTTTAAGAAGTTCTCAAAAATTCGAAACATATATGAAACTTCTTGAAATATTCTTATTGTGTTTTTGTATGAATTCCTAAGGAATTACAATTCAAGAAAGGGGAAAACTTGAAGAATACTTTGCGAATTCACTGTACTACCTGTGTCAGTATTTTGGTCGGCTCTCTGGCGGAAAAACTTTTACGAAAAACTACATAGATTAAGATAAGGTCTTAGAAATTATTAGTTTTTCATATATATTTGTAGTGGGACGTAGAGCGGTGTTGTTTCTTTGAAAAACCTAGAAATCCTCTGCCCTCAAACAACGCTACTCTACGTCCCACTACGAATATCTACAAAAAACTAAGAATTTCTAAGATCTTGTTTCAATCTATGTAGTTTTTCTGTATTTTTTCGTAAAAATTTTTGTCCGTCAGGGATTCGCCACTGACGAGATACTATTAAAGATCGTCAACCCTGGGCAAATTTTCGGCGGTATAAAAAGAGCCCCAAGGACTCGGAGATATAAAAAGGGTCCGAATTGAAGAACGCTGACAATTGATATAAATTTAAAGAATTGGAAAGAATACGGGAGTTAGAAGTCAAGCGCAGAAGACGTCACGCAAATAATATACTTATGAAGCTTGAAACTTCAGTCGGTGTCGTTCGTACACAGTAATAAGTCCTTCTGACGAGATTTTTTATCATTTTACAATTTTCATTAGTACTAGCTAATAACTAAAAAGTGACTCACTGTGTCTGACACCGACTGGCCAACATATCAGGAACCGGTTCTTGAATTATTCATGATAATGTTTGCGATATGGTACTTTGTAATCGTGGTGAGCGTCCCTATTTTCGGGATAATTAATTATATTATTAAAGTTTTTTGATAAATTAGTTTCTAGATTCCTTAATTCGACATTTTTAATATTTCCCTTCTTTTTCATTTTCCTTTTCTTCCTTTTTATTTAATTCTGGCATTGAAATTCTCGATGTAGGGCCGCGGTCCGATACACGCTCACAACGCTTAAAAATCATTTCATCCTTGTTGTTTGTCAAATGTTAAACGAAGACAAACAATGCTCATGAGCGTTGTCAGCATGATTCGGACCACGGCCCAGGATAACTTTTACTTTATATGTATATGTTAGTTTGTGTTTGCTCTGAGGAAGGCTCAAAAATGAGCCGAAACATGTAAGCGCGTTTGTTGAATAAAGAAGTTTCTAGCTTCATAAGTGTATTATTTGCGCGACATTTTCTGCGCTTGACTCCTAACGCCCGTATTCTTTCCAATTCTTTGATTTATAAGGAGTCTTGGTTAGTTTGATTTGTTATACGGATTTGATATAAATTTGCTGTTATTAACATAAATATTTGGCTAATATATTATTAAATTTAGGATTTTTTATTTTTACATAAATGCTCCAAAAATAAATATGCATACTTGCAAAGCTATAATATCCTATATATTGCCGAAAAATTACAATTTTATTCTCTGCAGTTATCATCTCTGTTAATAATCAAACTTTGACGATAACACTGAAATCACAATTTTAAAGAAAAATCGAGTATTGTTGAATTTTAAATGCATAAACACGTCTACTAAACTAATAAATCATAAAATTAGTACAATATCAGATTTTTAATTACTTCAATTAACAAGGACGCGAAGAATGTCGGTCTTTAATAGTATTTCATTGGTAGATCCGCCATTTTGAATTCTGCAAATCCGAGTGCGGATTCATGATTAACGATCCAAAGCATCCCTGGTTACCGATTTTCGTAAAATCAAGAAAATTTTTGAAAATTTCCGTCATATTAGATTCACCATTTTTAATTTTGAAAATTTGACTGCAGATTCTTTATTTTTGAGAGCCAGACAACAATTAGATAACGAAAATAAGAAATTAAATTAATAAAAATCGAACATATTTTGACTCATCTGAGTGATGATTCAAGCGTTCTTAATCAGCACTTCGTGAATTGCAGCCGTCATGTTAGGCTCACCATATTGAATTTCTTAGAAGGTCAGAGTGCTAAAGAAAATAGACATGTGCACTTACAATTTAAACCCAGAAAAATTTTTTGGTTGAACTGAATTTTGGACAGAGGGGATGTTCAATTTGACAGAGAGTATCCCATATGTATATAATACAGAATTGAGACACATATATACGCAGAAACGAATATACTATGCCGATATTTTTTTAGTATGTCGTCGATATTACATTGAATTAAATTGTTTTTCATTTTTACGGAGAATACTCCTTCCGATAATTATCGTTACAAAATTTTTGCCGTAAATGTTCTGCTATAATGTATGCATGGTGCAGCTAATACGATTGCAAAAAAATTTTTAACGAAAATAATTCTTTGTAAATTATATTAATTAGATGAATTTAAAAAACAAAACAAAATTCATTCTGTGTAATGTCCATGAATCTTCACGATCTTCAAAATAAAAATTAAAAATTTTTTAATTGTTTTGTCCAGCATCTTTCGCTACAAACGATATTATTAAAATGTAGTAATAAAGTTTATATGCTTTTATAAAAAAGGAAAATATATTCTAACAAATTCTAAGCAGTAAAATACAACTCTTAGTCGTGTTTTTTTACGAGCACTTAATTATGACGCTATAAAGGGACGTAGATTTTTCTAAAAATGTAAAGTATTTTCTAAAGTAATTTCTATTTCGAAAATGTGAAATTTAATTCATTCTCGCAGACTGAATTCCTATCGAATGAATCGATTTCTTCTTAGCTACTTCTTTTTTTCCAAAAATGCAATATAATCAAAACAATATAATCAAAAAGAATCCATATTTTAAGATCCTAATAGAACTTTGCAAAAGTAAGCGTAATGTTATTAATACTTTTTTTTATACATGACAAAAGGTCAATTTAATGTTGAAATACATGAAATGGCATTTGTTTGACGACATTGAATTGATCGAATTGAAATAATTGCATTTAGCAGTTGCAGTGGGACAAAAGGAAGGTACTATCGCCGCTCTTAAAAACAATATATATAAACACATTCGCACATTATCTTCACGAATCGCTGCTTTATTACCTTTCTCTCTTCGGAAAACGGTCAGCGAGGTATTACATGAAGAATAAAGAGCGTTGGACTATAAGTTACTTGTACATATGTATACCAGAATACAATGTACAAAAAGCAATATTTATCGCATACCTACTTATATGATTGTTATGTACACACTCGTACGTATTTACGTAAAACATCCATCCTATTCTCTTGACTCAATATTGTTCGATTCTCGAAAAATTTGCCATTTCGATTATAAATTATACGGTAGGATGCGCTTAAAATCATAAGGATGCAAAAGAGAGTATTGTATATAATTTGATAACGAGTGTGTGAACGAAAATGACTAAGATACTTGATTAAAAAAAAGAATTGTTGTCCAAGGAAGATAATGTGTCTTATGTATGGCAAATAGACGTTGAGAAAAGCTCTCACGCGATATTTCTCGTACTATACGATTAACGGTTTACGAAATAATAGGTGTATTTTTCTCGTGTTGGGGTTGAAGGTGTATAAGGCTGAAGTTTGATCATTATAAGAGAGAGGGGGGAGAGGGGAGGGAGGGAGGGAGGAAGAGGGAGAGGGAGGGAGGG